AATAAACTAAAATAAAGTAAAAAAATAAGAAGGGCAATTATGTCATTTTATATTATTGAAATAAAATTTATCTGACATGTCTGCGAACCAAACAGAATATGGAATCGGATTCCAATTCCATTTCCTGCCAACCAAACAAAATATGGAATTGGATTCCAATTCCTGACATTACCAATTCCTTAACATATTTCAATTCTCTCAGAAACATTCCAGCGAACCAAACGTCACCTTAGTGTGTAAAGTGTTATTGGTGGGGCTGTACAAACATTAGCATAGGAGTTCATATGAATATTTAATATAATTATATATATAATTTATTGAGTAAATTATACAGTTGGACCAATAAATAAAACTTTAATTTAAATAAATAAAGTCAAATGTTTATTATTATTATTATTATTATACACAAGTGATCCACTACTTATAGGATAATACTTTGTGGAGTCTAAAAATTACAAAATAATCTCCTAATTGGTTATCCTTTGTTCCCATATGTAATGGGGTAAGGGGAGGTAAGATAGTAGGCTGCCCCCAACACTAGTTGAGAGCAACTTCCGTAGAAGACCTCCAAATTATGAAATGCCCTTCGTGGGACTCGATCCCACGACCTCAAGGTTAAGAACCTTGTGCTCTACCAACTGAGCTGGATAGTCATCTCCTAATTATAGGGTGTTATTTTATTAAATTGATCATAAAAGCAATTAAAATTATTATTTAATATATAAATGAATCAAAATTAAATTTCCTTTTATATAATTAATCAAATCAAAATTCACACATTAAATTATAAATTAAATCAAAATTAATATGTAATTTTATTTTTTTAACGTGAACAATCTTTTATTTGGATATAAAACAAAATTTTGAATAAAACTCTAGAGATATATTTAATGCAAATGATAAAATTTAAAATTATTTCAATATTTTAATAATAAAAGCAGGTGGCTCTTTTGACAAGTGAAGGTGTGGCCACAGTTCAGTAGAAATTAATTCCCAATAGTTTTCATCACAACCTGGATCCATGATCCTTTCATTTAGCGGGGAAATAACCATTATTTCTTCTATATTATCAGGTTTTCGATGTGAAATATCATGAGAGATACCACAAGTCCTGCTCTAATCCATGTGTTATATCCGTCAAGTCATCTTATAATATTATATTAGCATTTTTATCCAAAAATTATCCGAAAAGAATTAATTATCTGTCAATCATTAATTTAGAAAATTTTATCGATATAACATATTTTTTCTGATAAGACGGAAGAGTGACGTGCGGCTTCTTACCCAAGGTGGGATCATATCAGTGAAAGGGAGTTAAATCTACAAAAAATTTTGAAACTGTATCTAATAAGTAGTTAATTTATGTTAGGTGATATTTGAGTAAAAACACTAACAGTGACATGAAATTTTGTCTGGTCTCCTTCTATTCTCTGCTTTTATTATTATTATTATTATTAGGGAAAACAACATTGTATTTGTAGGGTAATTTCACTTTGATCAAACTTTAAAATTTATTTAACCATCATTAAAATTTTAATTTATTTTTACTATAATCATTATCTTTAATTATCGTTAATTATATATATTAAAAATTTTGATAAATCTTTTTAGATTTCAAATTAACATCCATAATAAATGTCAAGTTTTCGATTAACAAAATGATTTGTTGAAAATTTTTATTTGATTTAAAGATTAACATAATTATATGAAGATGAAAATAACTGAGCGATCTATATATACATTAAATGAAATAATATTCTCTTATTAAATTTATATTCTTATTACGTATTTTCATACTTCTAATTTATTTGAAGCTCGATAAAATTTATTTCTTAATTAATAGTTGCGAAATTAAGTTTTTTTTAATTCCATAAATGATTTTAAAAAATCTCATGTCATTATTTAATAAATAAAAAGTAAAAAAATAAAATTAATTTTTATCTCACTTATAAAATTAAATTTTTCAATATCAAATCATAATGGTACATAAATATTTCGTTGGTGCTTTGGTTCAACGCTAATTCATTTTACTATCAAATAGTAAATTAATTTAACTTTAATCACAATGTAGATTTGGCAAATTAAGCAGTTTTTAATTGGCTAAAACACAACATACAATGTAGTGGGCCCCTTAATTCTTTCTAAAATCTCAGAAAAATGCAGCAGATAAGACAGAAAACACCCACTTGGCCACTTGCACTGCACATAGTCAAAAGCAATACTTCCAAAGAAAAAAAAGTAAAAAGGGCAATATAAAAAAAAAGAGAATTCTAAGGTTTTAGGTTTTTACCTAAAAATCATCCGACAGTATTTTAGAAAATTTTATGCATTAGTTCGGATAAAGCACGGATCATCCATATCTTATTTGAGCTAGCATTACGTTAGTGAAAAACGTAGATTATCATATGTATTTTGTAAGAAATGATGTTAGATCAGTAAAATTTTTTAAAATTGTACCTAACAGATAATTAATTCCTATTAGGGTGATTATTGGATAAAAACACCTTATATCATTGCAAAAATGTGTGTATATGTTAGATTATTTCAATTTTTTGATATTCAAGTGTTGTATGCCTTTCGAATTTTTTCTATAAGTCGCATTTTTATTGTTATTCTTTCATATATCAAATTTTAAAATTTATTAGGTATTATATTTTTTTGGTCAGTTATAATTATTTAACATAATTACTAGCATACTCATACGATCTATTAAAATTAAATCAACTATCTAGCCGTCAAAATTCATTTGCTCTGTCAACTTATAAATTTAAAGAACTTTTTATCTCCCTTCTCATACTCATACGATTATTTACAACTTGTACATAATATATATTATCTATTTTTTTATCTTTGAATTATAAAAAGATAAATTTATTACAATTATTACACAATCAGTAACCTGTTAAAATTTTAATTATCTGTATTTGTTTAAAAAAACTCTAATAAAATATTAATACATGATTTATTATCATTAATCAAAATCTAATAATGTATTAAATACAAACCTAAATATGTCAATTATACTTTTTAGGTGATATTGAATTTGTGATGAGCTTAATTATCCTTTATTGAAGGGTTTGAAAAATAATAAATGTTGTGTTGAATGATACCCTATATGATGGTTTAGCTATAGTGCACGACTTTTGCTCCTTAGGATTAACCTCAAAACATCCGTACTCTTTCATCTTTGTCTTATTCTACCTTATCACCAATTTTTGTTTGATCTCAATGCCTACTATATATCAAAGTTTATATGGTTAATATTCTTAAAATAAATTGAACTTGATAGTTAATGAATTATTATTATTCTTTGAGGTTTTAAGTTCGAGCATTAAAAATATCAGTTGCATAAGCGCTTAATATTAAATAATTGAGAATTTTTAAAAATATTAACTTATATTTATCCTAGATAATAAAAAACAATTAAAACATGTATGATAATAATTAAAAAATGTAAATGAAAAAAGTAAAACTGAAATTGCAACTCAGTTTTGATGAGTGATTTGAAGAATTACTTCTATAATGTAATTATAATAAATGTTATGATGTGACATGAAACTACTAAAATAAAGTTTATCATAAATACAACTTTTATTTATTTGATTTTGTTTATATATATAATCTAAATTAATACCAATGAAATGACTGGGCATTTTTAGGAGATTGCATCGTTCCTTAAGAGAATTATATTCATTTTCAATTAATTATAAAAATGACATTCTTTTATTCGGTAATTAATTATAAAAATGATATTCTTTTATTAGGTGAACATATCATGTAGATAAAAATATTGAATCAATCGTAATTTTCTAAAATATATTTAATAAGACACACTTTTATTTTACGTAGCAATTTTATCTGACTTGAGTAAGTATTTGTTATATGACAACATAATTTTCATCCCTAATGGGAGAGATGATGGGCATTGATATAGTCATATGACTATTTACTTGGTAGAGAATATCAATTCATATTTAAAATATGGTGTGTCATTGGCCTATAATTGTTCTCATGAAAGCAACATAATATTGGTTGTCTGCATTATTTACGAAGAAATATAATACGTTCAAAAGTTTTCATGTAAAAATCATAATTTATGTGTTATGGGGCACTACAGCAAAATTGTTTTGTAGCGGCGTTTTTAGCGACGTTTGGAGAGTAAACGCCACAAAATTTAAGCATATATAATACTTTAGCGGCGTTTCTTCAACAAACGCCGCGATAGAGTTGTACTTTAGCGGCGTTTTTATACAAACGCCGCAATAAGGATCGTTTATAATGGCGTTTTTCTAACAAATGCCACGATAGATTAGTACTTTAGCGGGTTTTTATACAAATGCCGCAATAGGGTTCGTTCATAGTGGTGTTTTTCCAACAAATGTCGTGATAAAGAGTACTTTAGCGGCGTTTTTATACAAATGCCGCAATAGGGTTCTTTAGCGATGTTTTTTTGTAAAAAAACACCGTGACAACGTAGTACTTTAGCGGCGTTTGTATAAAAATGCCGCTATATACTTTAACTTTTAGTGGCGTTTTATAAAAACAAACGCCACAAAAAGATGAATTTATATCAAACCTATACCCCTTATCCTTTTTCCTCTCTTCCTTTACTGTTTATTTCCGCCGCTACTCTTTGTTTTCATTTCATAAAAAGAAATTAAATCATTTCCCCCCCAACAAGGGCGAAATTCTCTGGCTTTACCATCACCTCTGAAATGAAATGAGATATGGAGATCGAAGAAATCGAGGCGGTTCTCGAGAAGATCTGGAACTTACATGATAAGCTTAGCAATGCCATTCACTCCATTTCGCGAGTTCACTTTCTAAATTCCATCAAAGCCCTCATAAAATCCGACAAGAAGAAGCTCTTCAACGAAGTCGGCGACGATAAACGGAATGACTCAATGTATGTCCTAGTGTTATCTTTGAAGTTCCCTTATTTAAAGCTATTATTCTTGGTGACTGCGGTTCAAGATCTGGGGGGCATTTGTTCTTTCGTGATAAAATTGAGTTCTTCTGCATCTTTTTTCGAACTGCATTTTAGGTAATTTAATTCCATAAATTTGGATAATTTCGTGTTTATTGGTAGGATTTTGCATCAGGGTTGGTTTTAGATCTTGTTGACAACATCTCTTTTCTTTGATTGAATGATTCTTCGTTGAAGGTTCGAAGTCTTGACTTTTCTTTTGATTTTATTGCCATTTTTTCTTTTTTGTTCAAACTATTCATTGTTTATCTTAAGATATTTGCAAATTGCTTAAAGAAAATTTCATTTGAATTATATTATCTAGGTTTCATGCTTTGATCAATCTACTATTCCTTGTTTCATCTTCACTAGTTTTGTTTCCCTGTGTATGTATTTCTGGAATCTAAAGAACAATTGCTTAGATATTTCCATTACAAATTTGTATAATGATGGAAGTTAATTTTGTGTTATTTTGTTTGTTTGTTTAGGTTCATAATAATTTGCAAAATGGAAGGTATTATTGTTAGAAGTGTCATTCCATCAGACAACAGCTGCCTTTTCAATGCTGTTGGGTTAGCTCATTAAACTACTAGATCGATAACTTTCCGTTTTAACTTTTATTGGTTCGATTGGTGTGATTATTGTTCATTTGAGATCATTTTTCTTCATTTCCTCGTGTTTAGGTATGTTATGGACCATGACAAGACAAAAGCTCCAGAATTGAGACAAGTTCTTATATGCTTATTCTCATGATTTTTTTTATCAAAACGCTTTGTTTAGGTCATTTTGTTATTGCATGGAAACTGAAGACGTATATCAAAACTTTGTCTGCAGTTTATGTTAGCTAATGAATTCTAGTATTTAGACTTCGATCTTGTGGATAGAACCGTTACACAATACTAAGCTTTATATGTTGGTATTCAAACCCATACAGCTGGGGCTTTTATGGGAAATGTTCAAGATTACTGTGCTTAGCTTTGTTCCGTTTACTGTATTACTACTATAATCTTTGATGCATCTACGAGAGGTATGATATACTTCACATTATTGAGCCGTTATCATTATACGCTGCATGCATCTTGGAATGCCAAATTAGATAGATCACTCAACATGTTTTAGTTTGAAGGTGGAAATCTATGAGCATACATAAAATGTCGATATAAAACCATTTATCCTTACCATTTTAAGAGTTGTTTCGTTTTCTTAACCTAGTGTGATTGGTAACTGTTTGAAGGTTATGGCAGCAACAGTGTCAAGTGATCCAACAAAATATTCCAAGGCGTTTCTCGGAAAGCCAAATGCAGAGTATTGTGCATGGATTCTTGATTCGGACAAGTGGGGAGGTTAGTTGAACCCCCCCATGTCCATTATTCTAGTTATTATTCATTTTATCATAATCTATTTAGGACAATCTCACTGACATGGGTATGTTATTTTCTGTTTTGAAGGCGCCATTGAGCTTTTAATATTAACATTATTATGGCCGTGAAATTGCAGCGTATGATATTCAGACAACACGTTGCGATTTGTATGGTCATGTTAGAATGCTGATGATGTCACTCTTTTTTTGTCTCGAGTGGTCAATTTTTTTTGTTATCAATGCTTACTCTCATCTTCTTTTTAAATGTGGCCTTCATGACAGGAAAATAACTACTCTGAAAGAGTCATGCTGATCTATGACGGTCTCCACTATGATGCATTGGCAGTATGTTGTTTCGTGACCAGTTTATTATTTTTTGAGGCTGTTCATATTGTCTCCTTTCAAACTAGAGGAACAACACGAATAAAACATTAACGGATAATAAATTGCTATGAAGGAAACTTTGAGAGAACCTATATGGAATTATGACTTTTAATTAGGCACATCAAATGTTGATTGTGTTCTTTCGTAATGTTTTATTTTCATTTCTTGTTGCTGCCATTCTCCTTTGTATGCTTATGGTTTTCTTGTTTCGTAATGTTTTCGGTTTCTTGTTGCTGTCATTCTCCTTTGTATGCTTATGCTATTAACGCCTTCAAGGAAATGGACATTGGCTCCTTGGATATTGGGGATTTTCTAGGTAATCTCTCTTATTGCTCCATTATTTTCCAAAATCTCTGTTCTTATTTCAGTGTGTTCACTATTGTTCCCTATGACTTTCAACAATTGGTGCAATATTTGCTGCAACAGATTCTGTTTGCACACTGCAGGTATTCATAGATTAAAATCGTGCTAGCTTTTTTTAAATTGAAACTAGAATACTAAACTTGCTAAAATCGAGTTGTTTCTGTCTGATGGTGCAGGTGCTTAGTCAGGATGAGACTCCGTTACTTTACATTATGGTTTTCGGAGAGAGTGTTGTAAATGATATAACATCTGTGGTGCTTTTCAATGCAATCCAAGTTTTTATCTCACAAATGTCAATCCTAAAATTCTAGTGAACAATATTTTTTAAATTGAAATTGCAAGAACTTAGACTAAATTCTAGAGAACTATGTTAAACTATATTACATTTAATTTTAGTGTTTATAAATTTTAATTTATTTTGTTGTTAAGTATTTTTCTGCATAACTCGTGTCTTAATTAAAATGTATGGTTGTTGTTAATTAGATAAAGCTACATGATATTAAATTTAGGTGATGTAGAGCACAAATGAAATATGCGAAATCAATTAATCTTAGCTAAAGAAAGGTAATTAGCGGCGTTTGTATCAAAAAATGCCGCTATAGATCTGATATTTTGCGGCGTTTGTATCCAAAAACGCCGCCATAGATCTGACCTTTTGCGGCATTTGTTCAAAAAATGCAACTATAGATTTTACCTTTTGCGGCGTTTGTATCCTAAAACGCCGCTATAGAAATCAACCTTTTGCGGCGTTTGTTCCAAAAACGTCGCTATAGATATTGACCTTTTGCATCGTTTGTTACAAAAACACCGCAAGAAATAGCGACCGTTTTGCGGCGTTTGTTCCAAAAACGCCGTGATAGATCTTAACCTATTGCGGCGTTTTTTGTTCTCAAACGTTGCTAACTCTAGCGACACTGGTATTGCCGGTGCTTCTTGCGGCGTTTTTCCTATCGCCGCAAGTGCTTTTAGCGGCGCTTAAAAATGCCGCTATAAGACTTAAAAAACGCCGCTAAAACTCTATTTTGCTGTAGTGGGTGGCATAATAACTGGAATGTGTCATAACCTATTCATATCCCGTGAATCTAAAAGATCAATGGTGTGAATGAAGATTCTTTCAGACAATCAAGTATCCATACTTCTACATCATAGTCATGTCTTCATATGTCCACATTGGTTTCATAAGATAAGTGGATGATGTGTACATGCTTTCAAGGATTCTCAAAATATACGAACGAGTTCTCTACGATCAAAGATGAAAGAGACCAGAATGAGCATGACATAGGGACTACATTGTTAAAAGATCCTACATTGCATAGAGATCTAATAGGTCATCTGATGTCAATTAGGATTCAAGGTGATATAGATATCGAAAAATAAAAACATCCTAAACGGTGTCAATATTGTAGAAATTCAGATAATAATATAAAGAAATGTTCGACTCTGTTAGCACATTTCAACCCTAAACCTTAATATTTTCTTTGATTTCCTTTATACTTGAATGATATATTTTTTAATACATACTTTATTGCATCAGTCATGTCTTTCATATATCTCAGTCAAAATATTATCAGATGTTGAATAAACGTGCACGTAAGATAAAAACACACCTTGTCAAACTCGTTTTAAAAAACGTGATTAACATGACACATTTTCACCAACTTTTTATCCTACATGGTACGCTTTCTCAACAAATGGATACCATTTTCATAATTAATTGGGGATGAATGTTATTTTCTTAAATAATTTAGAGAATGAAAACATATTTCGAGTGTAAAATAATGATAAATGTCTTCCATTTGATTATTTCCCTACACCCTCCATTGATATAATGATGAGCTAGCCAGCTAGAGATACAAAGATAAAAATGAAATAATTAAATTATTTTTTAGAAACAAAGTTGAACTGAAACACATGTTAAAACCCTATCAACTTCTAACAGTTGCTACCAGTGTGCATTTTCATGTTTTTGAAGAAGTGAGGTCCTCAACGCTGTTACTTTGTGACCAAAAGTATATCATCTGATGCCATTTTTTCAATGTTTTTTGAGATATAATTAATGGCCTGTTTTGATTTAGACCAAAGAAACATTAGTTGTTTTAGAACATTGGTGAATGCGATGGGGAAGAATTCACCAAATCCAGAATGCTGTTCCAGTAGTTGTTGTCTTCACACTGATCATCGATTCCTCCGCTGTTTCCGTCGGATTCTTTGCCGCCATCCGATAAACTCGGGTCAGTGGAATCGTTAAGAAGAAGGTTAATGAACCCATCTTCCATAGCCAAATTAGTTGAACTTCCCTCAAGGCCTTTCCATTCTTGTTCGCCTTCTTGTTTAATGATTCCGGTCTCGGATGAAGCCGACGCAGTGCCGGTAAACTCGGTCATCGGCATTGAACTGGGTCCGATCCCATTTTCCGAGGAAGTAAGTGTTGATTTCGGTGAGTCGATGTGACCAAATCCGGCATTGCTAACACTATTCCAATGTGACTTATCCACAACAAGCTGAGCAGCCGAAACTGACGAAGCAAAGCCTGGTGTCATCGGACGACCGAGGCGATGTTGAATCGTACGTAACTTCGATTCTCGAACCAATCTAGCTTCGGCTTCGAGCCTCGCACTTTCCCACTGAGCCATATGGCTAAGGTTTGCGGCATTCTTCGATCGATGAGCATCGGTACCGGAGAGTAAAGTGTCGGATTTCGGCTTGTGGGTGACAGGATCGATCCCCATTTTGGCTAACCTTTTCTTAAGATGAGTGTTCCAGTAGTTCTTTATCTCATTATCTGTCCTCTTTGGCAAGTGAGTCGCTATAGCAGACCACCTGAAAGACAAAACCTACAAAAACATCAACTTCCACAAAGCAGTTTCTTCGATGTTTATGTTTATCTAAAATATAAAACAAAACAAAACCAATGATCACTTAGACAAGAAAATGATGGGAAAATTTTGTCATATTAATGAAGAATTAAATACCCATATACTCATTTAAAGATAATAAAAAGAATTTCATATGTGATATTTTTTATATTTTCTATTAGTAATCTATTTTATTTGTCTTTAAAATTAAGAAGTTCGTTTTTTCTAATATAATATCTTGCATTTGTCCCTGAATTCAACATATATGTAAGTGCAGCCAGTATACCTAAACTATACCAGCAAATGCAAGAGATTTTTTTTATATTTTCTATTAGTAATCTATTTTATTTGTCTTTAAAATTAAGAAGTTCGTTTTTTCTAATATAATATCTTGCATTTGTCCCTGAATTCAACATATATGTAAGTGCAGCCAGTATACCTAAACATATATACCAGCAAATGCAAGAGATTTTGAAGATAAATTACAGAAACAAATATGGAAAGCAAAGTCTGAAATTTTTGGACCTGTTCCCTAAAAGGGCGTGGAGCTGAATGATGGTTTGTTCTTCTTGCAGACTGAACTTTCCTCTCTTGATATCTGGTCTGAGATAATTAGTCCATCTAAGCCTGCAGCTCTTCCCACATCGCTGAAGACCTAAAACAAAGAAGAAAAACTTGATAATGAAGCAGCCTTTTATTACTATTAAGCAACCAAGAAAACTAGAAGAAATAGGGTTTTAGTGACCAGCTTTGGCAGGCAAAGCACGCCAGCTTCCATGGCCGTGTTCTTCGATATAAGCTAAGAGTTTCTGATCTTCTTCTGGTGTCCATGGTCCTTTTTTCATCCCCACTTTGTCACAGCAAGGTGATCTCCCCATTGGGTGTATGCAATATAGTGAAATTAAATGAGCAAACAAAGAAGATAAAGGTATATAAGAGTGAACGAGAGAGAGAGAGGAAGAAACTTTGTGCTTGTAAATGAAGTGATGGGCAGAGAAGAAAGTATGCCAGAATTAATGGTGAGGGTTGTCAGAGCATATGCTTAAGTAACATTGCACTGAGGAATTTAAAACCCAAGCTTAGTTTACTATCCTTAAAATGTTATAAACTAGTCGAATCGAGTTCGAATATTGTTAAATTTGATTCAATTCGAAATCTCATAAATTTAAAATTATCATATTTGATTTGAACTTAAAATCAAAATATAAAACTCGACTTCAACTAAAAAAAATTGAAACTCATAATATATCTCGTCTAATTTACAGTTCTAATTACCCTTACTTCATTGTGTAGGCTTTTGCTTTACTTGACTCATAGGGCAACCCCAAGAATTGTCCCATATGTGTATGGCTAAAATGGAGATTTTGAAGGAACTTTTTGGTCCTCACAAATAACAAAGGCACTAGAGGGTAGTAAATGGTATGGGGTCTGATCTAAATTTCAAGTCACTCTCTCAAAAAATTTCACCCCATTACATTACTCATGCTGATAGTGACTTGTCTTTTTCAATTTTTGAACTTTTTTTAAGGCGTATTAATTAGCTACTAAAGCTGAACTTCAATTAAAACATTAATTAATAAAAAATATTTTTATAGTTAAAAAGAGTGTTAATATATAGTTATGTCTTTAAGATACATATACATTGTTAATAACTAAAAAAGATTTTAAACATATATTATCTTATAATTATTTCATATTATTTAATATTAAAAAAAAGATTTATTAAGTAATTTTAATAATTATGATAATTTATTCTATTTGGATAATATGAATTCTAATAATGAAATGATATTTATAAAAATAAGACAAAAACAAAAATCATTTAAAGCTATAGAAAAAAAATCAAAATATTTAATATTTAAATTTATTTGCAATTCGATAAAGAATCGAAAATTTACTTTAAAAAGTGTTACAAAAATATTACTAATAATTGATTTGACTATCAATACATGTAAAATTAATTTCTTTAAATATAAAATTCAGTATAGGTCAATTTATAATGTCTTTCATTAATTCTTATTTTGAAGTAACTTAAATTTTACTTAGTATATAATCTAATCCGTAATTCTTGTTTATAATATATAAAAATACGAGTTTACAAAAAAAATGAATTTCTTTCGATGATAATAATTAAATTTATTAACATGTATAATTTTTGTGTATAAAAAGTTATTTAATAACATGTAAAATTAAATTGATTAATATGTATAATTTTTATGTATAAAAATTTTGTTAACACCTTAATTCAATTCATTTCAAAGACGGAAGGTTTGAGTGTTACAAGAAATCATTGAAGTAACTAGCTAAATTTTTAAAATTATTTACTTGAAAATCTAATAACATCACCACAAACCATAATAAAACATAAGTTTACAAATAGGAACTTTAATAGAACAAACTGAGTACAAATGACAAGTTTAACAAAATATGTTAAAATAAAATTACGATTAAAGTATATATGAAGTCAATGAATTATTATGTCCTCTACAAATAACTCGATAATATGTTTCTCGATCTTCACCTATGAAAATGTGAATGAAAACACATTTCGAATGATGAACTAAAAACCTCAATGCCACACAAATAATTCCGCTATATTGTATGAATTCATCATATGAGCATGTCAACATATATAATCAAGAAGCAATCATTAGTGCATCACAAATTATGGTGAAACTCAGATCACACATGCATCAAGAACGTACATAAAACAAGACATTGTCTTACACAAGTGACTCATGTGTTCTCGAATGTTTTTCGAATGTCACACAAAGGCATAAATCATTATTCTTATGCTTATTATAAACATTAATTCAAGTTCTTGCTTTTAGCCTTATTATTATTTATTTAACGTTTTTGTGCTCCTCACTTGATCCTCAATCGAAACAAGGTTCACTAATCTTTTATGAGCAAAGGTATCAATAGCTACCCCTGGATATTGATACTAAGCCTTGGTATCGATACTCTTCATGAGTATTAGTATAAAAATGGATTTGAAGTTAGCATAATTATCTTTAGTATCAATACCCCACATAGATACTGATACTACTTTTAAAGGGTATCAATACTTCTCTTAGGTATCGATACCAAATTAAGTCTTGAAATTGAGTAAATTCATCTAGTACCGATTCTCATCAAATATTTAAACGTGCATAATAGACGAGTAAAACGGAAGACACAATACCAAGAGAAGAGCAAGATAAGCTACTTTCCCAACAAACCAAGATCATCCCTCGGCTTGCCTAGCTTCTTCCTGACTTCCCACGCATTGGTAGCTTCTCCTATTGCAAATATTTGAACAATTCAATATTTAAAGTCTAACAACATTTAAATGTGGCTCATTTTGGATTTAATCACTACTCTCTTATGCTGATGGCAATATAATAATTATTAATATCAATTTATCACTTAATTTGAATAAAGGAATCGTTGTGATTTAAAATTATAACATCTTTCTAATGCTACAGTCGAAGCCATGACCCTGCAAGTGTTGACCTCCCCTTTCTTATGGTGGGGTTTTCTACATCTTTTTTCTGGTTCCATGTAAATGATATTAATTTAAAACCAAATTTGAGAGATCAAACGTATAAAAAACATAAAAAGAAAATAAAGGACCAACATAATAAATCCAAGCTTCTTCCTCAAAATCATTCCTTAGCACAGGAAAAGAGCTAATCCAAACTCGATATCCAAATAAAATATAGCTACTACTGAACAAAATCCTTAATACTACAGAGGATCCATAACCCATGTCCTTTGTTGCAGACCAACCATTCAAGAATTCAGCTACTGATTGCCTGTGCTATTGAATCTAACAATCTACAAACCCTATTCCTGAAAAAGAAAAGATACCACTTACGAGATTGGCTAAAAATGCAAAAATAGCATTCGAGTTTGGGGCTTAAGCTTTACAGAATGTGTACAAGGTTGTACGTATGAAACCTTACAATAAGTCAAACAATTCAAATAATTTATATAAAACCATCTAATATGAGCAAAAAGACAATTCAGAATCCTCATAAAAATATCAACATACCTGTTCCATGGGTGCAGGCTCTTCGTTCTTTTCTTCATCCATATTATCAGGTTCAACATTGGACTCTTTTTTAATATCAGAATCCATTTTTTCATCTCCCCCTTTAGCAGCATTGGTATCAAAACCGGGAATTTTCAAATCTGCAGGGAGCTGACCTGTCTTTAATGCCTGCTCAACCAAAGAAATATCCAGAATGTAAAGTAAAACTAAGAAAGGAATCTAAATGACAGTTGTCTTGAAAAGCCACTCATACAATTAAGCAGCCACCTTTTCAAGTCTTGCAACCTCTTCTAAAGTCTGAGAATTCACAATGGCAGCCTGCATATCAAATAAATCTAAACAAGATCAGAATTTAGTCACAAGGATGCACTACAAAAGATGCAGAAGTCATTTACAAATATGACATAAATTACCAGTAGCCATTTATGCAGTTTAAGTCACAAATAAAACAAAAAATGCAAGCTTTAGATGAATTAAAAAGTAGTGCCCAAGGAAAATAATTTTGCAAATTGACAAATACTGTTTTTACATTTTAAACCTGAGTGCCAAAATTAACTAATGTCAGAGGGTTATTCAACCATTCCAAAAAGTACCCCTCATTCAGAATCATTCTTACTGGACATGTATGTTACCTTCCTATTAATGTTGCTGGTTAGATGGGTTTGCGAGAGAGGGTGCCACTAGCCACATTCCTAAAATATATGTAAAATATTTAAGCTCACAAAAACCATCAGAGGGGTGTGTCTACTTCAAGTGCTTCTCTTACGTAATACCTCATCAGGCATCTTCTTGCTCAATATGTTTGTGGGTGTCCTTTTTTACTTGGACCACAAATATAAACAATATTTTGGAAATTAAAACAGCATGAAAAATATTACATTACTTGACATGTTCACACATCGCAGAGTCCATTAACAAAGGTAATTTTACATATTCGTGCATCAAATCAGCAGTCAGCATCAACAACCCCCCATCAAGTGCATGACTGAATCTGAAACTGATTCAGATTAAATTGCATAAGACTTTTGTGTAACTAAATTGGAAACTTCTTAAAACCTTTCTGAAACTTTGCTAATACTCTTAAGGGAAAAGAAGCAATTAGGCCTTAAGCAATGAAGCTTGCCATAAATTGCTTTGAAATAAGGAACATTACCTGATGCTATGTTTGGTTAAAGTAAAGGAGGAAAGGAAAAGGGAAGAGGAGTAGTGGAATGTCTCCCATGTTAGTAGAACATTCAACGGGAAGGAAGAGAACTGAAAGGGTGTACATGACACATCAAAAACCTTGATATATTTAAAACCCTTGAAATGGGAGACGTATTTGACACTAAAAGTTTTAAATCGTATGGACAAATTTATCTTTGTTCAATAACGTTTTGGCTTATATCATGGTAAAATACATTTCCACCCATTATCCAGACAAGGTTAATCTGTTAATAGATAAGCCTTTCTTCCCTAACACTTCTTTCTTATGCAATAACACAAGGGTATCTTACCTCCGCTTTCTCCTATTGTTAATTCCTTTCATTTTCCCTTTGCTGCTCCTAGACTAAGATTAAGACATGATTAATTTCTAGAACCACATACAATTACATTTTGATCATACAAGGAAAACTTCCCGTATATGGTTTTCTAGCATAGCCTTGCCTGGTATAACCTAAGCCATTTCAGCACATTTCTAAACCATGATTTCAATTTAATAATTTTCTAATTCATATTAATTTGATAAACTGGCCTCACTCTTTGTAAAGTAATCATATTAAATGGGACCAAATGCAAGGTTAAGTCTTTTGACATTTGTTTCTATGACATAATAGGGGTATTTCGTCCTGAGAACCATTAATCTAACTTTACAGTACCTTTAGATGCTCAACTCTGCAGGGAGGTAAAGAAGATGATCAATTAAACAGGTTATACTTGGGACATTTGAGAATACAAGGATACTGAATTTTTTATATTTCTCACCAAACCAAACTAGGGAAGAAGACCTGCAATCTTTCAAGATTTCTTAATCCAAATGCGCTCCTAATAACTTTTGGTAGTTTATATCATAAAAAACCAATTCCTGTTTCCCATCTAAGTCTGTGATAGGCTTCAAACTGCCTAAAAGGTTTTGCAAGAGATTCTGAGACTTGTAGTACTACTTCTTAATCTTGACCCTTTTAGGACTGTGATTTACAGCCCTTGAATGCACTACCTACCTAGCAGCTTCTTTGGTGAGGTTCAATGGCATTTTTATTTACTTTATTAGTTTTATAACCTTTAATGTCATCACAAGCCTAATAAGACTTCCTTTCACAATCACCACTCAGGATGGCAATGGCTGGTAAAAAAATCCAAAGACTATCGGAAACATTTTTCTTGATTCAGATATTAAAGTCTTCTTATTTTTCTGTTTTTATTTTTTTTAAATATTTTTTAATGAATTTTAACATTTAGCATATTTGGATATATTTAAAAAAAATTGAGGATACCCAATCCTTTGCCATCTTAATCCTGAACTACCTTCCAATAAGAAGAGTAGTTTCCATCCGAATACATCAACCTCCAGCTCTAAAACTGTTCAAGTAGCTGTTAGTAATCATAATTCACGTTTTATAACTCATGTCATCAAGATTTAATCCAATGTAGAGTCTATTACGGAGGAAATTAAAAGGAGATTTTTCCTAAATACCATTATTAGTCACCAAATGTTGGTTCCAAGAAGATACTTGAAACATATATCCATTTGGTTCACACATAAATTGTAACCCGCGAATGTGTTCCATGGAGGTAACAGTAATTGGCCTTATCTAAAAATAATGAGATAATTTTTTTTTGATAGAAGATTAGGCCTCATTAAAAAACCCCTTCATATCCTACTTGTTACATTAGTAACATGAAGGACATAGGAAGGAGGAAAAGAGTGCCTCTGAATTTTATTAATCTGAACAATAACATACAACCATTCCCTAACCACTAACTGCTTACAACATAACACTTAATACATAACACTTATTGCATAACACTTAAACCAGAATACCCTTCAGAAATACAAACAAAACACAACACCTTCAGAACCACATCACATAACCTATTAATCAACCTATACCAGCTTTGGCTAACTCATCCGCTTCCCAATTAGCAGCTCTAAGAATATGTCTTGAAATAATTAAATTAGTTTAAATTCTAAAATACTAAATTTCAAAGTGATTGAACTTCAAACCGTGCGTATTTCTAAATAGAGAGATCTTTTGCCTTTTAGGCCAAACCTCAAATGAGAGCCTAAATACTACGTTACTTAGACTAAGGCACAAATGTTGAATGCAGGTATGTTTCTGATACAAGCATAGTCAGACTTTTCTAGTTTTTCCCTATATTTGGTGGATTCTTAGAGCTCATATCTCCATACCCCAGTATAAAACATGAGTGTCAAACACGAATACTTCAAGAAAAATGAAGATATCGTGCAACAAAGTCTAAATTTGCATCATAATGTAAAACAAAGTTGGTCAAGATTCTTGTTAGTCAAAGTTCAAGTATCACACTCTTCTGAAGTTTCTTACATATATGTAAACGGTACCCCAAGCATGCTTTTGGCAAGCAAGTGAGGTAGTTAGGCATGTTCCCCTATTTTACCCTTAATTACTGTAATTTCTTTTATTTCATCCAGTCCCTAATAAAGTTCCCAAGTCTTTCTAGAACACTACCAAGAAAAATAACCGATACGGAAACTAGAACACTATCGACATTGTTATCCTTGTTTCAAACAAATATTATGAGAAAAAGGTATACCTTGATAGCTATAATTTGCTCAGGTGTGGGGGCAACCACTTTTGGCGTTTGTTCTTCCTCTGCAACTTCAGAAACATTTGGAACCTCTTTAGGTGCAATTGTCTTTGTAGATTCTTTCTTTATTTCCTCTTCAGCTTCTTTAGATGCAAAGAGATTTTCAGCTTCTAGTCTCTCCTGTGACCCATGAAGCATAATTATGAGAAGTTAATCATTTGGTAAGTTACACACTTACATGAGGAATATAAACTATGGAAAAGTAGAACATTCAGCCCCACCCTCTTTCTTCCTCACTTACCCAAAGATGCAGAAAAATTGCTTAAGCAACGTCAAATCAATAATTCAATCCTACAGTAAAGTGTTTCTTTGTGAAACAAGTTAACGATAAGCAATACCAATGCATTAGCCATTAGGGTTTATATATATATATATATATATATAAAGTACACTAGGCAAAATGAGAGATTTTTTTATTTTGAACAAGACAAATTTATGATGTATTTTCCTAGTCATGACTCATGAGTGCACCTATGATGGACAGTAGCCATTCTAATATCTAATAGTGTTAACTAAAATGCCATTCTAGCATCTAAAATTGTTCCGTTGATAATGTAACTCCCAATCAGTCAAAAAACAGCACTTCATGAACCTACACTTGCTGCTGCAATATTTATACACATAATAAAACGATGTCAAAAAAAAGTTCTAATTCACAAAGCCAAAGGTTCAATTAGGCAATTCCTGTCAGAAGAATGAATACAGGAATGTAGCAGAAATTTTTAAATTAACCACAGCTGTTCTCACATATCTAAACATGATAGGCAACAGAAATTTCATAACAAAACAGATTCTTAGAAAGACAAAATAATAGTTTAGCATATACAATCACCTTAGCCTTGACTTTCTTGAAATCCAGAACACGAAGTGATTTGAGTTTGTGAATCACATATAACCTGTAATTAGGTTTTTTAGTAATATTGTTATCCAACAGGCTAAGGAACTGCAGCTTAGGAAGTGATACAAGAGGGTCAATCTCCACTAAGTTCACCAGTCGATTATTTGTGAGAACCAATGTATGTAATTTCGGCAAGAACTCTGTAGAACAAGGGAAATGTGAACTTCGTCAGAGTCTTCCCATCAGGAGGCAACATTAAAAAGGCTTAAGGACACACGCTACAATACCAGGGAAATCCAAGTGTTGGTTCAAAGCTTACCTCCAATATTGGGATTGATACGCGTAACTCGGTTGTTGTTTATAAGTAAGGTGCCCAAGCGCTTAAGATAAGGGAAGTTGTCCAGCTTCACTATCTCATTATCAGACAAATCTAGGGTATCAAATTGGTCCTGTCAAAACGAACAAATGCAACAAAAACACAAGTAAATTAAAGCTACGAATGAGTTAGAAATGGCCACAGGCAAAGTAATACCCACCTCGGTAGCACCCAAGTTTTCTATTACAGCAATTTTGTTACCTGAAACGGGCAAAATGAAAAGAGATTAAGTTCTAAAGAAAGGGAAGTTTAAGAACATTATTATTAGGGTTAGGGTTGGAGCGAAAGAGAGGAGAAGCAGCACCTCGAAGATCCAATTCTCGCTCTTTAAGGGGATTGAAGAAGTGAGGACACTTCCAAATCAAGTCGGCCGTGAGTTTCACCATGCTTGCTTTTTTGTTTCTCCTCTTTTTTCCTCCGCTAAAACCCTAAACAGACGCCGCCGTCTTGCGGTAAATGTGGGAGGTGTTTTTAGGGATTTCCTTGCAACTTTCCGTTTGCATTTTCCTTCCACCCGATTATAAAGAGAGGTTAAACGACTGCATTTCGTAGCTACTAGAGGTGTTTAGTGTTACTTTTTAATAAATTTTGCCATCCAAATTTAAAAATAGGACATAATGGTATGTGAGGCCTCAATTTTTTAAAAAAAAATCAATATAGCTCTCAAATTACTTTTACATTCAATGTAGTCCTCAAACTAAAAAAATTAATGTGGTCCTTTGACCAACAATTTCTTTAGTTAACTATTAGGATGATGATGTGGCAGTTATGGTACTAATGTAGTGATCTACAGTGGTTGATGATGTGGCTAATCAATGGTGGATTTAGAATTTTTTTAGGGATAATGGTATATGAGGCCTCAAACTTTTTAAAAAAAATCAATATAGCTCTCAAATTACTTTTACATTCAATGTAGTCCTCAAACTAAAAAAATTAATGTGATCCTTTGACCAACAGTTTCTTTAGTTGACTATTAGGATGATGATGTGGCAGTTCATGGTACTAATGTAGCGATCTACAATGGTTGATGATGTGGCTAATCAATGGTGGATTTAGAATTTTTTTAAGGTGGGCATGTATATAGTAAAAATATAAATCTTTTGTATGAGGTGGACATAAATAAGATTTTAAAATGGGTACAAATATTAAAATTAATAAATAATATAAAGAAATTCGAATTTTAGTGTCCACCCTAGACAAACTTCGCATCTGTCACTTTGATAATGACGTGACAAATGGGTTAAATTGATTTTTTGAAGAGTTTGAGGGCTAAATTATTTTTTGAAAGTCTTTGAATTTCTGATCAATGACTGACAGTTTCTCAACGCTATCGCCTTTACCAGCTGCTTATCCACCCATCGCCGACATATCATCCTTTGTTGTAGCCTTAATCTCCAAAATCCCTAAATTCCAAGACATAAATGTATAAATCACAATCAACGCGTAAGTGATCGGTGGGTGATCGCCGAAGGTGATGATGGTCAACAACGAAATTTAAGTGATATTTTGAAGTTTTTATCAATTTTGGGGTATTTTATGAAAAATATGAAAAGTTATGTTTTTTAATTATGAATTTTATTTTTTTAAAAATAAAGGAAATTAAAAAACAGAGCATACATCAAACACTAATAGATTGATTTGTTTTTATTGATTTTTTTAATGATTGTGACAGATCATACACTTAAAATGATAACGTCGAAAACGTTATACACCTACATTATCAAAAAATAAATTAAAACACCTAAACAAAAAAATATAATTTAAATACTTTTTATATTAAACCTTAAATATATTAAGATAGTCTAATGTATTAGTTTTAATTGTAGTGAGTTGTCTTATTTTAATTAAGTGTAAACTACGCGTTTAGTACTTAAAGTATCGATTTTATTTTATTTTAGTACCTAAACATTCATTTATTTAAAAATTATACATAATGTTTAATTTTTGTTTCGTTTTGGTACATCGCCGTTAAAAACTTAACGAACTATTACAACGTGACACTTTTTTATAGGTAAATTACATCATTCATCACTCAACTATTTTCACACTCCTATTTAGGTTACTAAAGTTTAATTTTTTTAAATTTAATTACTCAACCTTCAAATCACTCTTAATTTTATAACTCTAACTTTAAAATTTATTTATTTTTCATTTTAATTATATATTAATAAAATAATAATAATAATAAGTGTCATGTCATAAACATATTAATAAAATAAATTAGAGTGATTAAAACATGAGCAATTTGAAAGTTAAGTAGTTAAATTGAAAATTTATAAACTTTAGTGACCAAAATAAGAGTGAGAAAATAGTTAAGTGATTAATGATGTAGTTTACCCATGAAAAATACCACGTGGTTCCACTAAAATTTTAACGGCGGGGTACTAAAATGAAACAAAAAATAAATATTAGGTATGATTTTGAAACAAATGAAAGTTTAAGTACTAAAACGAAATAAAACTGATAGTTTATGTATTAAATGTGTAGTTTACCTTTTAATTAAATAAGATTTAATGATAATTTTGTTTATTGAAAATTTCAATAATCAAAATCTCAATATTTTATATAATTAATAGTATATGGTTTATTTACGAATCAATTTAAATTAATTAATATAAAGGTCTATTATGAGTCTATCTCTCGATATATTTTATTTTATGTATAATATCGATATTCAAACTTTGAATATTGTTGCACTAACCAAGCTACCTTAGTGAAAAAGAAATTGTTATTATTCTTTGATGTCATGAGTTTGAGTACCATAAATGTCAATAATGAGAATGTTCATTGTTAAATGATTGAGAGTTATCTTTGAACAGATATTGATTGATAATTGATTTATAAATGAAAACTATTGGATTTTTATTGAGATCTAATTTTGAATCAATTAAAACTTCTTTCTGAATAATCTAGGTGATTATAAGATAATAATTTTTGATTTTTTTAATAATTGACCAGTGACAACTCACACATCTCCAACAAATAGAGTTATTCAAATCTGAAACCTCTGTAGACAATAATATTTCCTTCTATTAAAACTTAACATTATTAAAAAAATGTTTAATAAATATTTTTAAGATTATAGTTCTCACCTATGATTATATTTTCTTAAATATTTATAATTCATCGACAGTGTACGTTGCACTGACAAAAAATAAAACGGTTCAAACATTAAGAGGGAAACTATATATTTAGAATATAAATATTACACTAGAAATAAATATATATATATATATATATAAACACTTTCCTATTAAAATACTAATTGTTGGAAAACCTGTATACATGTATAGCATGGGAGGCCTTGCTGAATACTGTGTCGTTCCGGCGCATGGTTTGTGTGTTTTGCCAAAATCATTGCCATACACTGAGTCTGCAATTTTAGGATGTGCTGTATTTACTGCTTATGGTGCCATGAGGCATGCAGCTGAGGTCTGTCCTGGGGATTCTGTTGCTGTGATTGGAATTGGAGGGGTTGGTTCAAGGTATTTACATATTAAGCTGATTCTGAAACTAGATAATTGGTTTGACTTGTCATTTTGAAAATCCAGTGTATTTTTCCTCAATGTACAATGGGTAAAAGGCACCTTTGAGTCCTAAAGCATATATGATAGCATTACTGCTAGAAAATAAAGATAGTTGTTCATTATGCATGACTTTCAAGCTAACTTATATATTATGCAGTATAGGAATAAAAGCGATGTTAATGCTTTCTGTTCTCGAGATCCCAGCACAAAGCATATGATCTTAAAAACATTAATCAAACACCTGACCTGGAATAGGAAGCACCAACATATTTTAGTTTTTTGTTTCTACACTTTTTTGTTATATTCATTGTCTGCACTACATTTTGGATTGGATTTAATTTATTTGTTGGTTTCAGGGTTCTTTACTGAATTGTAAGGTTTTGTCAATTAACCTACCTTGTGATTTCTTCCGGAGTTTAATATCACCTGTTGGCATGATGTTACTATCACTAATAAAAACTATGAACTAGGCCTTTCTCAGCATACGCAGTTCTTGGTCATGTTGTACCACTGTGCCCTGTTTATAAAAATATCCTCAGTAAGCTCAGTGAAAACAAGGTCTTTTCTTTTTATAGTGTCAGGGCTTGACTTCTTTGGTCTTCCTTTCCTCTTATCATCAGTTAATC